CTTAAAGTAAGTATGCCGAGAGGTATGCACAAGTTTTGTCGTTAGAAGTTGTAAGGTGGAGACCCCTGCCTCATCGTTTAATGAAAAAGGGTAATACAAAAAAATAATAATAATATAAGGTTTAATTTAATTGGTCAAATAGCTGTAATCGTCTCGTTGTGAAATGTTTAACTAAAAATCTACATAGTAACTACAGTTCTTTTTCAAGGTATCATACTTACTTATTGTCAGGAATTGTTTAAATAAAACACTAGCATGCTCATTTTATGACTTATTTATTTATAAGATCAGAGGTGCCACTATTTCTCTGTGGTTTAAAAAAAACCCGGTTAAACGTTGAGTAAAGAGTTAATTAATTTCATTTGTAATCTTGTCAATATTGTACACTTGTATGAACATATAAGTAATTTTAAATATTTCTTTGGTCCAGTACTTAAATAAATTATTTTACTACAACTCAATCAATGCTCGAAACAAGATCTAAATGTCTGCAATTTGCGTAGTTAAAATAAGGTTAGGATTATGGTCAATCCAAGGAGACCCTGATCCAAAACATAATAGTAGTCAAAATCATTCCAATTATACCGTGCCGTATTCGCGTAGTTAAAGTAAGGTTAGGATTATGGTCAATCCAAGGAGACCCTGATCCAAAACATAATAGTAGTCAAAATCATTCCAATTATACCGTGCCGTATTCGCGTAGTTAAAGTAAGGTTAGGATTATGGTCAATCCAAGGAGACCCTGATCCAAAACATAATAGTAGTCAAAATCATTCCAATTATACCGTGCCGTATTCGCGTAGTTAAAGTAAGGTTAGGATTATGGTCAATCCAAGGAGACCCTGATCCAAAACATAATAGTAGTCAAAATCATTCCAATTATACCGTGCCGTATTAGGTTAGGATTATGGTCAATCCAAGGAGACCCTGATCCAAAACATAATAGTAGTCAAAATCATTCCAATTATACCGTGCCGTATTCGCGTAGTTAAAGTAAGGTTAGGATTATGGTCAATCCAAGGAGACCCTGATCCAAAACATAATAGTAGTCAAAATCATTCCAATTATACCGTGCCGTATTCGCGTAGTTAAAGTAAGGTTAGGATTATGGTCAATCCAAGGAGACCCTGATCCAAAACATAATAGTATTCAAAATCATTCCAATTATACCGTGCAGGTAGAGTGGTGAACCAAGAATATATACTGAGACCCTGAACCTCGTCGATAAAAATAACGACGGTGTTAACAACTTATTGTGTGTAAAGCCATTTAGGCAAGTTTGTAAACCATTTTGGTAATAATATTGTTGTATTTACCCTTTAGGTAATATACTTTTAATTGTGACACAGGTGACACATTTCTTATTGTGCCATTTTGGCGATATATTTGTTATTGTGCCATTTAGGCGACATATTTATTATTGTGCCATTTAAGGCGATATATTTGTTATTGTGCCATTTAGGCGACATATTTATTATTGTGCCATTTAAGGCGATATATTTGTTATTGTGCCATTTAGGCGACATATTTATTATTGTGCCATTTAAGGCGATATATTTGTTATTGTGCCATTTAGGCGACATATTTATTATTGTGCCATTTAAGGCGATATATTTGTTATTGTGCCATTTAGGCGACATATTTATTATTGTGCCATTTAAGGCGATATATTTGTTATTGTGCCATTTAGGCGACATATTTGTTATTGTGCCATTTAAGGCGATATATTTGTTATTGTAACTTTTTATATTTAATCTTCAAGGAACATGGTCAAATCATATACATAAATCAAGGGACCTTAAACCCTAATAATAAATAGTGTTATTTTTCACTTGTCTCGATAAGTCAATTGAAAACACAGATATTAATCAAACTGTAAAACTGGACCAATCACAATAATAATACTAAATGTAATATTGATACAAATTTAGTTTAAGAGTGTGTAATTTGATAATTTCATAATAACGTTTAACATTATGTATTCTAATAATTTGTAATATTTGTAAACGTATGTTTATTATAGCATTCAAAATATAAATCAAAGTTTAATTCAATGTTTTTCTAAATAATAAATAATTGAGAAAAATAGGCATTTGTTTGAGGTACGTGACTACAAGTATTGCGTAATGGCAGCCGTTGGAGAAATTAAAACATGTAAATCGATCATTTACAACAAAATATGTATTATAAATAATATCAGACTAACCTGTATATTCTTCTAATATGAAAGAACCACAATGTACGAAGATTACCATATTCTTTTAGAAGTTTTTCTGTTTATTAATATTCGCTTCACGTGTGTAGTCACCAACAGCCAACACCCTAATAATTCAATCGAAAAACCTTTTTTTCGAGCCTCCTTCCCACCATCATCAAATAATGGACTCGTCCAAAAACCGTAGAAACTTCTTTATGCATGCGCATCGTAAAAGTTTCTGTCAATTCTTTTTAAGGATTAACAGCACTACTTCAAATATTAATTAAATAAGTAACCTATTTACGATAACTAGATAATTCACAATAATCTTCTAAACCCAATTATTACATTATTATAAAATAATATTAATTATACAACCAAAAAATACACAGCTGTATAAACAGTTGCCCATAACTAAAAGCATAAAATTGTAATTAAATAATAATATTCAATTAGGGATATTTTAATATTACAAAAATATAAGTAAGATAAGTACAGAATTCTTCAAGACAAGTGACATTTTTCAGAGAATACTAAGGGTGGGTCACCACCCTACAAAGTATAAAAGCTTCAATTTTATTTGAACTATATATATATATATAATATAATATATAATTATTTAGTATACCTATATTTATTTATGACCATATTAACCCTCTTTTAAATAATCCACTTATTTATTTTGGTCAAAATAGATTTTTCTAACCTTAAAATACAAAATTAGATGATATTTTTTGTTCTAATACATTAACCTACCTTTGATACAGATATTCTTATTTCATTTTTAATAAATGCTGTTTAGTTAAAACTATTTTATGGAGAAATGTAGACCCAATGCACAAAAATATCTCTTATATTGCACCTTACACTTTGGAATTTCATTAAATGCAATATTTATATTCCTAAATTCTTCTCCTTTAGATTAAAAAAGTTTATTCTGAACCCATAATTTATGTATATCAAGCATTAACTAACATATGTTATCCTCTAGAGTTTGTTTCTTAATTTTTTTATATTGTAGTCACAAATTTGCCTTTTAGAAACAGTATTCCTATAACTATAATATAATTATTATAATTATTCTAATGCAAATTTACTTATACCAGAATACATTGCAAACTGCGAACATAACCTACAAATCCTTACTGTCATTTAAAGTTTGCTGTGTTGCCAAATTGATTCAAACTTAAATCAGTTGATACAAATAAATCAACGTTTCTGAAATAAGAATATTTGATGTATTATTTGGGTTACCCTGTAGAAACGCTTTTCTTACGAATTCCATACAAGCAGCGCACCTTTAATTTTATTCATTCGGTTTTATGCACGGGCCATTTCCCCGCAAACGATAAACGTGACTCTCTTCATTCAGACGTTAAGTTTATTGTGTAGACAATTTGCTTGGGGTTTATTTTATTTGGGGACCCTAATAGTTGCGAACAAAGAGCAGATTTTATTTTTAATTAAAATATTTGTTGTATTTGCAATTTTAAGTGAAAAATTATGTTAGTAAGGATTTATTTTTTAATGGGGTAGTTAAATTTTTTCTGACCTATACTTTTTATGGTTTTATTCAAGGCGTTTTGTAATTTTAAACATTTCTGTGAAATCGGAATTTCAATTGTTGAAAGTTAACCGTTTTCGAGATATTTACAAAAAAAATCTCCTAATTACGTCACTAGGCTATTGACAACGTTGCCAGCTTTTTCTATGGTTGCCAGTGTGTTTAGTTTAAGATTCTTACGATAGATGGTGCCACGTTATAATATTTTAGTTTTAAAACCACTTGATCTATAATTTTAGTTGAGAAGAAGAAGAAGAATTGATTTTTTACGTTTTTTTTAGGGTTATGTTTTTTTTTTAATTTAGATTATTGAAAATCAATGTTATTGTTATGTTATTTGTAATTGATATTAGATAAGTGATTTATTAATAACGGATTCCAAAGCATAGGAATCTTGTGGAATGGTTGGTTACATTGAACATTGGAGCTTTTAAACAAATAAAGTAAGTACCTATAATTATAATCATATTTTGTCGTAAATGCATTTCATTAGTATAATGCCTAGTTCTTTATATTCTTTTAGATATATCTTGGACTCTAAAATATCAAACAGTAATATGATACCTCGTAATAAGGGAGACCATCTTTCACTCAACTGACAGTGACAGTATTTGTACCTAACCTCTTCGGGTATTTTCTGATATAACCGAATGAAATCATTAACAAGAAAACTTGACAACAGGGTAATTTTCAACCAATAGAAATCTTAGAATGTTGGTCACATGGCGAGGTTTGTGACGTCATAAAATTTATATTTTTTGTAAATATCTCGAAAACGGTAAACTCAATTGAAATTCTGATTTCACAGAAATGTTTAATATTACAAAACGCCTTGAATAAAACCATAAAAAGTATAGGTCAGAAAAAATTTAACTAATAGATATTAATAAATCGATTTATTAATTTATCTTTAAACTAATTTTAAATCTGTCTATAGACAAAAATTATTTTTAATATTATTTTAAAACCATTCATTTTAATTTTTTTTATTCTTATCTAAATTACCAAGTATTTTTGTTTTTATCTTCAGGTCCTCAAGTAATTTCAATTCAAACATATGTATATGATATGATTGTCAATAAAAACACCTGAAATCATAAATTAATTAATTTTTTATTAAATTTCCATACAAAAACAAGCACTTTAAAAATCTCACCTGGTAATTGATCGTATCGTCCATGTTATCTATGTCAGTTTTAGTATAAATTGCGAATAAAAAATTTAAAAAAATAGTACAAAAGTTGTTTTCGATAATTAACTAACCAAGACAATATGCGTGTTATTTTTGCTTTGGCTTTTTTGGCGTTAGCCTCAGCTGGCCCATTGAAAGGTTGGTAAAAATTATATAATTTTTTTATATTTTGCACAATGTTTACATATTTTTCCTAGATGAACCCTCTGAAGTTATAGTCGCTGAAAAATTTATCAACGAATGCGTCAGAAAAGTTTTAATTGATGGGCTCCCAGAAATCAATGTCCCAAGCAACGAACCATTAAACCTCAACATAAACTTTACTTATGGTAACTTTGGAATCCCGTAAGTCCTTAAAATTCAAACATATTTTCTAAATAATTATTAATAATTATTTTCCAGAAACATTTTTGAAAAATTTTACATACATATCAACAACGCTGTAATAGAGGGAATTCCAGAATTTGAACTCAAAGAACTCGTGTCCCACCCAGAAAACAACCCAAACGGTGTTTTCTTCGACTACACCATTTCCTGGAAAACCTTGGCTATTAAGAACGATTGGGAAATGATTGTCTTGGGATGGAAAGTCGCTGAAGGACAACAAAAGTGAGTTTTATGTGTTTGGCAGAATATGCAATAATCTTAAAATAGTTAAATATGTATCGTTTACACAATTTTTAGCGTAACAAAAATATTAAATTATTGTTTTCAGAATTTACATCGACACTACCATCTCTGGAATCTGGAACATGACCAACACCCAGGGTAGGCAACAATCCCTGGATTCCTTCACAGCTAACATTATAACCAGAGGCGCTGATGTAAGTAATAGTTAAGTAATTTGATATAAATTTAAATAAATATTTTTTAACATAGCTGGTCTTGAGCAACACCGAGAAAGATTTATTTGTGATAAGTTTGGAAGGTGCCATCAACCAGGCCTTGAACATCCCAGAAGTCAGCAAGGCTTTGTCGGCTAAACTTCAAAACAAACTCAACGAAAACTGGTTGCAAAACGGTGAAAGAATTGACGCCATGTTGAACTACTGCTGGCCAAAACATTAAGCTTATTTAATGTATGTATATATATATAGATTATTAATAATAAACTGAGTAAAAATAAAAATGTTATTATTGTTTTATTAATATATCGCACTTCCAGTAAAACATTGGCTTCCCTTACCATTTTTTCGAAGTTGCAAAATTGCATCCGAGAGAGCAGAAATACTGCGATTTTATTGGAGGCTTTTAAATTTAAATAACCCTTGCAACTTTGCCAAGGTTTATATTGACTAATCATTTTATATTTATTTTTATAAAAAACTAATAATTCGGCTTATATAATAATATAATTTAGTAATTTTTAAATATCCATGTATGTTAAACCGTAAGGTAAAATATTATTATTCTTAACCAATTTTGTTTTTAATTCTTATTATAATTAGATTTTTTCCATTACTAATAAGTATAGTACATTTTAAAATATTATGTTGCCATTTTATATAAAATATTTTAAAATCGAATATTTTTATATGTTAACAATTAAAAATTGTAACATATTTAATGTACTTTTTAATAAACAAAAATGTTATGAGAAAAAATTGAACCTACACCTCGCCAAAGTTTTTGTTTTGAGTGCGTTCCATCAACTTCAAATACCGACAGACGGGTGGTTTGACCTATATTGGGTATCATCAGTATCGACACGACACTGTCGAGCAACTTGTAGTAGTGGAACACACTCAAAACAAAAAAATACCTGAGCTTATATAACGTGGTTGGTAAGCCAACAGAGGCGAGATGTGAGAACATCACGTGATCCACACCGTCTAACGACGCGTCACGACGTGCCTTTGCCGCAATCGGTACATACTATGCAACCAAGTAGGTTCAATTCTTTCTTATAAGTATTACCAGTAATGGGTCAAGAAAGTTTATTGAAAAAACTAAGAAAATTGAATGTTTAAAATGTCATGAGTTACTATATTGTATATTATATTTAAATATATTGTTTATTTACCTTAAACATAAAAGTATCTTTATTTTTACTATATTTTTTATTAATGCGTAATATATTATAATATTAGATGTACAATTGGCGTCCCCGAAATGTGAACGGCAAAATTTAATCGTGTAATATGGGCTTTGCATCAGTGTCGTCGGTAGTTGTCAAATTTGATAATAGTTGTCAATTGCAATATTAAAAATGCCACCCCACTTAACCGAGGCTCAGAGGTCCAGGGCAATAGCCAAATTAGAAGAAAATTGGTCTTTAAGTGAAGTAGCTGCAGATTTAAATGTCAGTAAAAGCTGCATATTTTATATCAAAAAACATTGGCAAGAACAACAAAGATTAAGAAGACCTATCAGGCAAGGTGTAGGAAAAATCTCCAACGAAAATGAAGACAATGCTCTTGTCGCACATATTAGGCAAAATCCTTTCAATAGCGCAGTTAAGGCCCGAGAAAATACACAATTTCCAGGATCTCTTCGAACAGCTCAAAAAAGATTGAAACAAGCTGGTTTAAAAAACTTTGCTGCTGCTCATAAGGTTTTTTTAACTGAAGAAAATAAGCGCAGGAGAGTCCAGTTCGCCAATGACTATTTAAATTATGGAGACGATTTTTGGAATAATGTTATATTTTCGGATGAAAAAACGTTCCAATCTTGCAATAATGGAAGGCTGCGTGTATATCGTCCAAGAAACGCAAGATTTGAGGAGAACTATACATTAAAAACCTCAAATAGTGGACGCTTTTCCATAAATGTTTGGGCGTGGATAAGCATCCATGGTCCGGGAGTATGTTGGGAAATTGATGGTAGATTAACGGCTGAGCACTATACCAGGATTTTGGACAACGTTATGCTACCTTCAGTTAGACATGTGTTTCCAGAAAACTTTATATTTCAACATGTAAGAAAACTGTATAGTATTCAAAAACGATTCTAATAAATATTATATTACAGGACAATGCACCAGTTCACACAGCTCGCGTGGTTACAGAGTGGGTAAACAACAACCACATAACTGTTTTGCCATGGCCAGCTAGAAGCCCTGACTTAAACCCCATTAAAAACGTGTGGGGTTTTATAGTTAAAAATATATATCAACGGGACTTTAGGCCAGCAAACCGAGATGAACTATGGAGTGCTGTTGAAAATTCTTGGGATGAGCTTGCTGATTCATACGACATGCGTGAGCTAATAATGTCCATGCCAAGAAGGTTGCAAAGGGTTGTGGCAGCTAATGGCTCTGCAATTAAGTATTAAAATAGCTTAGCAGCACAGTTTTTTAAGCCAGCTTGTTTCAATCTTTTTTGAGCTGTTCGAAGAGATCCTGGAAATTGTGTATCTTCTCGGGCCTTAAATGCGCTATTGAAAGGATTTTGCCTAATAAGTGCGACAAGAGCATTGTCTTCATTTTCGTTGAAGATTTTACCTACACCTTGCCTGATAGGTCTTCTCAATCTTTGTTGTTTTTGCCAACGTTTTTTGATATAAAATATGCAGCTTTTACTGACATTTAAATCTGCCGCTATTTCACTTAAAAACCAATTTTCTTGAGCAATATGTTAATTTAGTTATGTTATTTTTATTGTGTATTTACCTACTTGTTAATTTATATTGTTGTATAAAACCAAATTAAAGTTAATTTATTTGTTATATTGTTTATATTATTGTTTGTTAAAATATTATTAAAAAAATAGAACGATTTAGGATATTGTTCTTATTCTTAGTATTCTCCCTTCTATATGTAACACCACTGGCCGAAGCCAGGAATGAACGAATAAATTTTATGAAAAAAATGCATGACAACAAAAAATCGTTCACATTTCGGAGACGCCAATTGTACACCTTACATTTGATTAAATCATATAGTAAATATTATCATTTGTAGATAGTAAAATCAATTTACTATACGAACATATTAAAAATTACAATATATATTATACATTTATGATTTAGTTATATTGTGTTGTAATCTTTACTAAAATTGTATAATAAAAAATAGTATTTTGTATTATTGATATAGTACATCTTACCTGCTTCAGTATGTACAGCAGGAGCAGTAAAAGAAAGAGAAGAAAACTCACCTGCAAGGATAAAAAGGCCGCAGGCAATGATCGTTTTATTGTCGGTGTTGCAGTGCCCTAAAAGTGCGAAGAACACTGCCAGTAGCAGCAAAACGGCCGCCATGCCGCTCAGGACTGTGCATGACCTGAAAACAGAAAGTGAGAAATGTTACCCCAGTGACGAAAAATCAGGATATTATACTCTCGACTATGCTAGCAGCTGAAACCTGCTGAATCATTGAACTCCCTCCCTATAGCGCAGATTTGGGACATGTTTATATTTTTAAAGCCAAGGCTTTTACCTTTTAACATTCCTTTGGCGTGTTAAGGTTAAAAAGGGGTTTATCTTTAGAAATTTTAATTTTTTTAAATTTTACAAAAACTTAGTAAGTAAAGAATGTTTTTTATAATTTCATTATTTTTGCAAAAAAATATCAATGAAACCTTAATGGTATTATTCATAGAAGATTTGTAAATTTAACAAATCAATTTTCGTTTAAAATAAAACTTTTTTTATAATATTAATAAAATGTATGTAAATTTAACAACAAATTAATTGTTACTTTCATTCATTTTCATTGTATACAATGCAACATTGTTATAACAATGCAACAACCTACTGTTGGGTATTGGGTAGTAAATAAAAAAAAATATGAACTCACTTTTTAAACAACAAGTCTGCTTCGTTTATAGAATGTTTCTTTTAGAAAACGTCAAAATTTAAGTGATCTTAGTGATCTTTTTGATATATAAAATAATTATTTTTAATCTACTTTTTTTAAATTTGACTAATGTCCCAGACATTTTTTCCGTTGCGTTACGTCCGTCGCGTTACTGATAGAATATTTAAAAAAACATATATGGCAACTTTTTTGGCACTCACGTGATCAACAAATGATGTTCGGACGTACACATTACCCAGCTGAATTTATTTATTTAATCAGGAAGAAGAAGATATCGGTTGAAACAGGTGCGGGTAACGCGAATGTAATAATTGTTTGTCCGCTAAGTTACTCAAAAAAAAAATAAAAATAAGGTAAGAAAAAATACTATTTTTCATGTTTATGTTTATTTTAGGGCACTAAAGCTCATTGAGAGTAATTAATGACTGTAACGTCTTATAATTATTTTTTAAATATGGTTTTACAAAACTTTGTCCATTGCGTTACCGAGTCCACTATGTCACCTTATGGTAAAGCAATGGAATTTAGGGTAACGCAATAGAATTTTTCGACAACAAAGTGGATATTTACCGTTGCTTTTATTAAAAGTTGTTTATGATTAACCAATTTAAAATCATTTGTAATTACAATTCATGATATAGATTACATCCAAGGAAAAATTTCACGCAATATAAAAGTACTAAAAGGGACCACCAGCTTATAGTCAAAGAAAAGGGGTGTCTACAATTTAGAAAGTTGTTATTCTGCAAGTGAGCACCACTACAAGGGATTTTGCATTACTCTAAAATCGTACCTCCCTATATAGTTTCTTTTTTACGTTATCTGATTAAGTCCTTTGTGTACCCCTGTCCGTTGTGATACCAATGTCTATTTCGTAACTTTTTTTAGTTTTTGTTAAAAAAAAATACTTAAAATGATTTTTATACACTATCACTTGGTAATACGTATTTATAAATTAGAGTTTAATTATTTAATAATTTAATAAAGAAAATATTAATGGTATTGTTTTTTTAACAAAGAATCGGAATGGTTTCTTTTAAAAAGTAACTTAACGAACATACATATTAAAAAAAAGCATACAATTTTTAATAAAAAATAAAATAAAAAATTGGAGTCAAAAGTTTGTGAACTAAGTACATTTTATTTCAAATTATTTTTATAACAACTTTTTTTATTGAATTAAATTTTGGATTTCAAATTGGTAACACAGTGGAAATATATAAAGCTAGCTAAACACATTTTTCTGAAAAAAACGTAAAAAATATTAAAAAGTGCACTGCCTGTCTTAAATGTAAGTAAACATGTTGATCTTCATTTTCCTGAAAGCGGGTGTTTCTTGAAAATGACCCATAAACATAAAGTATTTCTTATTGCCATGACAATATGATAACAATCATTATAGTAAATGAGACTTTTTAAAAATAACAAATAGTAACTTTTTTGCCAATTTGCGGTATACTGATGCACAATAAGTAAATTTTGTGGTGCCGTTTTGGCGTGGTTTCAATTTACATGCTTGTAGATATTTCGTTTTTAATGGGCCGAGATAAAATCCAAACTTACCGGCCATGAATAACTTCCAATATCCCGAACGACTTTTATTACAGTTTGTTATTGG